TCTAGCTAGTCTTTAGATATTGGGCTCAGCACAGCCGAACCTCCTTTAGAACTGAAGGTTTGCTTGCAAGCAAATTCAGTGCAGACTCACGGCAAGCAAATTTGAGAGACTGAGCTAGCTGATGGCAGATAGATACCGTGTTTCTCATAAAATAAGGCCGAGTTTTATATTTTTTTGAGCCCCGAAAAAACGGCTAGGCCGTCTTTTCGGGGTTGACTTAATTCCCCCCCTTGCATCCTCATCTAGAGCACCCCGCGGGCAGCCTCGCCACCAGCCGCTCCTAACGGGTGATCATGGTGAAGCACAGAGAGCTCCCTACTCCCACCAAATACCTTTGCTGCAGACCCAAGACCTTTGGCACCCGCCGCTGTTGCTTTTCCTTCTGCCCATTCCGCTGCTATGTTTGGAGCTGCTGCTTCCGTGTTTAGAGTGCCGCTACCATTTGGGCTGCCACCGCCATTTGGAGCACTGCTGTCATGTTTGGAGCTGCCACTTCCGTGTTTGGAGCTGCTGCCATGTTTGGAGCGGCGGCAGTGCTCCAAATGGCGGTGGTGCTCCAAACAGCAGCAGTGCTCCAAACATGGAAGTGGCAGCTCCAAACGTGGTGGCAGCTCCAAATGCGGACATGGCAACTCCAAACAGCGGCAGTGCTCCAAACAGCGGTGAGGTTCCAAATGCGGAAGCGGCAGCTCCAAATGCGGCAGCAGTTCCAAATGCGGAAGTGGCAGCTCCAAACAGCAGCAGTGCTCCAAACAGCGGCAGCGCTCCAAACGTGGAAGCGGCAGCTCCAAACGCAGTGGCAGCTCCAAATGCAGAAACAGCAGCTCCAAACGGCAGCGGTGCTCCAAACAGCAGTGGTGCTCCAAACGTGGAAGTGGCAGCTCTAAATGCGGCGGCAGCATGGGCAGAAGGGAAATCAACAGCGGCGGGTGCTGAAGGTCTTGGGTCTGCCACAAAGGTGCTTGGCAGGAGTAGGGAGCTCTCCGTGCTCTATCATGATCGCCCATTAGGAGCAGCTGGTGGCGAGGAATTGCTGCCCGCGGGGCGCTCCTAACGGCAAGTCCCCCTGCCCTTCCCCCCATTTTGCATGTTTTAAAATAGGCCTAAATTTGGGTGGAGGGGCTTAATTTGATTTTATGCCTAGAAAACATGCTGGGTCTTCCTATTGGGGGAGGTCGTATTATTGGAGAAACACGGTAGATCACTGAATGATTCTGTGAGCAACTCAATCTGCCTGCTTTGCCTGATTTTGAATAAAACTTGTTCTTTTTTTAAATAAAAAATTCAATATTTACATGCATGGTGTGTTGTGAGTTAATTTTGTGAGTTTGCTTGCAAGCAAATTTTATGTGACAGAATGAGCTAGCCAATGGCAGATAGATAGATCTCTGAATGAATCTGTGATTCTGTGAGCCACTCAATCTGCCTGCCTGCTTTGCCTGATTTTGGGTAAAAATTGCTCTTTTTTTAATAAAAAATTCAATATTTATATAAATATTTATAATATTTACATACAAGCCATGCCCAGCCAGTCACATGACCACCAAGCCACACCCACAAATTAGGCTATGCCGACAGAACTGGTTAGTGGTCCCTGGGATCTAAAATTATGAGTTTGGTGGTCCCTGAGGTCCAAAAGGCTGGCGACCCCTGATATAGAGGATATGGATGAAGGATGCTGCATCTGTAAGTCATGCACACAACATGAGGACTCAGCACTAGCATTAAGATTAGTAAAAATGTTTTCCCATTACAAGGGCAAGTCACAAAGAACCCCCTTTATTCCTAGGATAAAGCCATTAGCTGTTTTGCAGTTAACACCTCCTGACATGTAGCTGAATTTTGGTCTAACTAGGATCAGATTTGGGGATGTTCATCCATCCATAAACCTGCCATGTTTCTCTTGAGCTCTAAAAGGAGCTGATATTTTAAGAGGAAGAAGAAGAACCAACATCCTATGTCAGTACTTTTGTAGTCTTTCTAACAGGCACTTTTAGAGGGATTTGAGGAAGTAACAGAATTAATAATAGTATTTTAGATGTAGAAAAAAGAAGGTAATTATTAAATCAGAGTTCAGTTCTCTAGGGATGATCTGAAGAAATTATGTTTTTCAGAATTGGACTGTTGTTTTCTCTCCTATTATTATACGGAATACTAGGATATTGGGCAAGATCAAGAATAGGGAATATCTGAGTGATTAAAAGCCATATACATATTTTGGGGGATAATGGTAATAATCAGCAATTGATAACACCAAGAGAGGTGCTTGAAATTTTCATCAGTTTGTTTGAGATGTTATTCTTGCTCACTATTCTCACTTGCTAATAATATGAGCTAATCTTGCATGGCCACATTTTTTTCATAAATTTTATGCAAATGGGGGTTACCAAATGATGTATTGAAATATCAATAAGAAGCATTTCTATTTAAACAAATGTGCAGTTTGAGATGACTCTTCTTGCTCATAACAAACACCCCAAATGCCTAGGGTTTACTCTCAACAAGACATTGTCCTTCAAAGAACATTCCACCAAGAATGAACTGCCCACAGTCTCACAGGAAAATCTGAAAATGCTCAGGATCCATCAAGGTGAACTTTGTTAATAGGTGCTTTGTCACTAGGCAGAGAAGTCACATCTCAAAATTCCACAGAAGTCAGAAATGATCTGTATGTCAAAGTTCATGAAACATAGGCCCAAGAAAAACTTCCCAACTTCAAGTAAGAATGGACACACATATTGCAATCAAAAGTATTGTATTGTATCCATTGCCATGAACTAACATCTTTTAGAATGACAGTACAAATAGCATTAAGTGCTATGGATTTTTAAGAAGACATCCATTTGGACAGCCCAAAATGAAACTTCAATTAACATTCAATCTATAGAATTTATTAAATAATTGTTGAAGTTGCTGCTATAAGTGACATCCAAATCATAATTTCCTGCTCAATACCTACAATAAGCTTACAAGTAATGTGGATGCTTTAAGGAATTAACAGTCTAACGGTTAACGCAGAGCTCCTAGGCTACAATGGCTAACGTCCCAGATTGTGATTCCTGCGGTTTCAAGTGCAGCTCATTCTCCTACTGAGAGCATGTGGAAGGGGGAGTGGAACTGTATAGGCAACTGACATTGTTCTGTTAGTACAGCTAGGTGATATACAGTTTTAGGCAAGAAATTCATCTGAATTTGTGTTTATTTCTGAAGTTGTAACAAGGGTAAGGTCAGATCAGAGAGGAAAATACACCGAGATAAACTAATTCTATTTTATTATACGACTATATTAATGAAACTTTGCAAGCCTGAAAATACAATTCTTCCACTATCAATTAAGGAGGATCACTTCTGAACCTCTTGCTCCATCCACTGTGTAGCTATGAGCTATGCTGTCTCTTATCTGGCCATTTCCTAGGCAGCATATCTTTGCCACATCTGTCTTTATACATTCCAATAGAGTTGTAACTAACTAACTAACTAATAATGATTAGCAGCCTTTTTGAATCTGAGAGCAAGATGTCAAGCCATTCCAACTACTACATACAGAGATAAGACACTGTTGTTGCTGAGAAATTATCCAACTGTGAGCTGTCACTCATACAGGGAGAATCTTGAATTGATTATATTCTAGGCAATAGGCATGATAGCTATACTTCATAGTTGATCATTATAGAATAAGTAAAAATGATACGTTAGACTTTAGATTCAGAATTTAAACTACTTGCAATTCTTTTGCACTTCTCACTAAACTTCCAGACAGATACTTCTTCACAGTTCTCCTGTTCAAATGGCCCCACCAAACTGAGGTATAATCTTCCAGGCACTAACTGACCCCTGAATATATTAAACCACTTATCCACTAGTCTCATTCAAGGTTTACTAAACCATGTGTCCATCTCAGCAATTGGTTTCTGACAAATTCCAGAAAAGTGATACATGATTTTATACTAGCAATACAGTCACTGAAATTCCTTTGCATCAGTAAATAAATAATAATGGGACAAAAATGATTGTTCTTCTGAAAAGATGTTGAAAACAAAATAAAGCATTAAGAACAAATAAAAAACATTGGATGCATCAATCTCCTTTAATTAAGTGTTAGAATATTTTGAAAGTGCAGAAAAATTATGTAAGTCACTGACAGGCAGTTTATGAATATTCTATATTGTATAAGAATGAAATATTTATATTAAAAATTGAAAGAGAATAAAAGAGTGATTGTATTAATCAGTCCTTTCTATAACCAAGGAGGTTATAGTGGACTATAGGAAAAAAAGAGCAGACATTCAGCCACTGTATATAGAGGGAGTTCGTGTGGAACAGGTGGTGGAATGTAAGTTTCTCGGGACCATCATTACAAATGACTTGACTTGGAGCGCAAACACCGCTGCTTTAATTAAGAAGGCACAACAACGGTTGTATTTACTAAGGATTCTTAGGAAACAACAACTGGCTGAGAGTCTACTGACTACCTTCTATCGGAGTTCAATTGAGAGTGTATTATCCTACTGTCTCTGTGTATGGTTCTCGAGCTGCACAGTGGCAGAGAAAAAGGCAATTCAGAGGGTGATCAAGACGGCCCAAAACATCATTGGCTGCTCACTCCCCTCTTTGGAAGAACTGTATAGGAATAGATGTAAGAGGAAGATACATAATATATTGAATGACTCCTCTCATCCGGGACATCAGCTCTTTGAACTATTACCATCGAGAAGGAGATTTAGGGTATTAAGAACAAGGATGACCAGATTTAAGAACAGTTTTTATCCAAGTGCAGTTTTGAGTTTGAATGCAGGGTCATAAGATTTTTGTGGAATTTAAATGGCTGAGAGTAATGGGGTATTTACATTTTTAAATTGCATAGAGATTATTGTATGGTTGGTTGTGTTTAGTTCAATTTTTTTTTCTTTTAGTGGTGTTTGTCCAGTTTTACTTTGTGGAAGAGCATCTCATTTCGTTGTACCCGCTAGCGAGTGTAATGACAAATAAATTCTTATGTCTTATGTCTTTCTTCTCATTAGTTGTTCCCTGATGTTTAGGTCAGGTCGAAATACAATGATATAACATTTGGGGAAAAAGATACAACCCAAAAGCCCGACACCAGAGGTTAAGATGGAAAAGATCTCCACAGCTACCATGTATTTCCCCTTGGAGCTCAGGTATGCTGGGACAAAAGACAACCAAACACTGCAAAAGACCAACATGCTGAAGGTGATGAACTTGGCTTCATTGAAAGTGTCAGGTAATTTCCTAGCAAGAAAAGCTGTGATGAAGCTGATAAGAGCCAGGAAACCCATATAGCCAAGAACACAATAAAACATAGTCACAGACCCTTCATTACACTGCAGGATAATTTCTTCAGTCACTGAGAACATATCAATGTCTGGGAATGGAGGAGCGAATATTAGCCAGAGAGTACAAATGCCTGCTTGGATCAGGGAGCAGGAAATAATAATGCAATTAGTTAATTTTTTCCCCACCCATTTCCTCATCCTGGATCCTGGTTTGGTGGCCATAAAAGCCAAAACCACTGTGATGGTTTTTGCCAAAACAGAAGAAACAGCCACTGAGAAGACCACACCAAAAGTTGTTTGTCTTAGGAGACAGGTAAACTTTCCTGGTTTGCCAATGAATAGCAGTGCTGAAAGGAAGCAGAGCAGGAGGGTGATAAGAAGAGTATAGGTCAGATCTCGGTTGTTGGCTACCACAATGGGAGTGTCATGGTGCCTTATAAATGCTCCAAGCACAAGAACAGTAGTCAAAGAAAAAGAATGTGTAAGACAGGCTAAACTGATTCCCAATGGTTCTTTGTATGTCAAGAAACTAATACTTTTGGGAATACAAAAATCGTGTTTCTTATTTGGATAGAATTTGTCTTCGCATCTGGAACATTCATTTCTGTCTGAAAAAGAAGAAATAATATGACATTTTCTTATAGATGTTCTATATATCTATCCAAGGTTGCATAATAATCAAGTTAATTTATAATTATAATGATATAATCTTTATCTTTAGACATCTGTATAATATTAAGATTGTCAAGATATCAAGTAAATATAATTGGCATACAAGTTTTGTAGTATTCTCATAAAATAGGGACTCTAATCTTTCTGGTGTAACACCTGGGGATAAGCCAGATCTTTACTACTTATTTGAAGCATGCAATATCCTGTGTCTGTCATATGCTGGGGGAAATGGTTCAAAGCTCCATCTGAAATATTCACCAAAGTCTCATTTTCTTTAACCATCCCTTGATTTTGATCATCAGGGAGAAGAGTTCACTTTGCTTCCTGCCAAATAGTCTTGTGTCCAGACTATCCACTTCCCCAGAACCTTCTGAAGTTGTAATCTAACATCTTCACAAAAAACTTTCCTCTAAAAGAGATGACAGGAGAGTGACTTCAAATAGTCCAGACACTTTTACAGCCTTTTATATATTTTTGGTGAACAAGAACAACTGAGTGGGATGGTATTGACTGCCGCTGACTGACTATGGACAAAATAGACAATTGAGTGATAAATAAGAAAGAAGAGCCTTGAGATGATTTGGTTATATAGAGGAAAGAATGAGGCATGGTCCAAAACAAACATATGAAATAAATGTGAATGGACACAGAAGTCTGAGATGTTTAAAGAGCAAAAGAAAATTAATGAAACGTGCAATCATATAATGAATTATTTGAGCATAAAAACAAAACAAATAAAGGAGCTCAAGGTTCTCTGTGCTTGTCCTGAGCAGGATTCCTATCTGAAAATTCCACAAAATGAAACCCATTTTGGTGTGGAGAGAGAAGCTGTGAAAAGGAAGGCTGAATTTTAAAGGGACTGGATCAGGCATGGGGGCTGCAGAAAAAAGGTTTTCTCCAAATTCATCCAATGTATCACTAAGGGAAATGCAGTGGGGTAGCAAGTCAACATGTAGGTGAGTCCTTCATTCTAAGCTGCTTCCCTTCTTGTAACTTGGAGATAGTCTTAAAGGATTGGAAAAAATTCTGGAAGTCATCAGCTAAATTCTGGTATTCAGCAGGTTCTGACCAGTTCTGGAGAACCAGTAGTGAAACTTTGAGAACTGGCAAATTCCACCTCTGACTGGAGATTTTAGTGTATCCTTCCCCAACCACGCCCACCAAGCCACACCCACAGAACCGGTAGTAAAAAAATTTGAATCCCACCACTGGAAGTCATGCTCTCTATACTTTCCCTAGTTTGCTTTACAGATTAGGTAATTTATGAAACCAAGATGAATAACATTCTGCTGTAATTTTGCTTGAAATTTGTTGCAAGTTTTATAGGAACAGCAGATCAAGATACATTATCCCTCTATTAGAGAGATTTCTAGTGAGATTTGATAATTTCTATGTGAACCATCTCCTTTAGTATTCAAATCCAGCCACTACTCTTGCAGTAGCAAAAATTTTAATGAATTGTATTATATTAGTATTAGATTAATCAGGGTATTATTGTAGTAAGTTGCTCAGAGTGTACCATATTCGATTTATTTTATAATTGCTAATATATAGCTGCAACCATGTCTCTTTCTTGATCTACTGGACTTCAGTTATTTTCACAATATTAATTACATATGACTATAATTATAGTCCAGCAGATCAGGACTGTAAAAGATGTGGAAAAATGATCTAAAATGGGTTCAGAGATTAATACACAATTGCAGTAATGTTTCACAATTGCAGTGATGACAGCCCACAATGCATAAATGAAAAGCTGGCAACATAATTTAGTCATGATTATTATCATACTTACTAAAATTAAAATCTATGAAAATTATAAAATCACTTTATAATTGAATATTCCCAAGGGCTGAAATGATGAACCCCCAGGTTTACGAAAATATCTTGTGCATATTACACAGGCTCATGCCATGTTCAATTTTATCAAAATTTATTCTTTTCTTTTTTTAGAAAAAAAATCAGGAGGTGATGAACATCTCTCACCATTCTCAGTTGAAACTCTCCCTTCTGGGCATGGTATGCAGTCATAACAGCAAAACTGCTCTCCTTCCTTCTTTTTTTTGCTGAAACCAGGATAACAGCTCTTGCTGCAGACAGAGATGGGTATCACCTAGAAATTAAATAAGAAATTTATATGTCTGGAAGCTTTTTATTCCAATGTCCACATTTGAAATGATGAAATCATATCATGGGCATCATCCCAGGTTAGCGATAAGAGTAATAATTTGGAAAACATTTTTCTATTGCACAAGCTCAGTGGAACATACTTGTTTCTAGATTAAGCAAGTGCAATCATGAGCTGGGAAAAGACAAAAAACAACAACCCTGGACTCCTAAATTACTCCTAAAACTAAAATCTTATGGTATCTCTGGACACTTGCATAACTGGATAGAAGCATTCCTGTGAATCAGACAACAAATGGTCAAAATTGGGAGAGTCCTATCAAATTCTGTACCTGTCAATAGTGGTGTCCCACAAGGCAGTGTTCTAGGACCAACTCTCTTCATACTCTACATAAATGACCTCTGTGATCATATTAAGAGCAACTGTGTTCTTTTCATTGATGATGTAAAGCTATTCAACACCAGACAATACTGCTATCCTTCAAAAAGACCTTGACTATGTATCAGAATGGTCAAACAAATGGCAACTTCAAATCTCAACAAATAAATGCTCTGTCTTACATATTGGCAAAAAATAAATAAATCAGAAAATAAAATACAAGCTGAATAGTCAAGACCTTGTTGATGATCCAAACTCTGTCAAGGACCTTGGAGTACTCATCTCTAATGATCTAAATGCTAGAGCCCTCTGTAACTACATAGCCAAAAAGGCATTAAGAGTTATTAACCTAATCCTGCATAGCTTTTTCTCTGGTAATATCACACTACTAACTAGATCATACAAACATTTGCTAGACCAATACTTCAATACAGCACGTCAGTCTGGAACCTGCATTATGTATCTGATGTTAATACAGTTAAAAAAGTCCAGAAATATTTCACAAGAAGAATTCTCCACTCCACTACTTGTTGCAGAGCACCTTATGCTATCACTTGAAATTCTAGACCTAGACAACCTAGAACTACGCCACCTTCAGTCTGATCTAAGTATAGTACATAAAATTATATGTTGCAATGTCCTACCTGTCAATGAATACTTCAGCTTCAACCATAACAGTACAAGAGCACACAATAGATACAAACTCAAGGTAAACTGCACCAACAGACTTCAGCAACAGAGTGGTCAATGTCTGGAATACTCTACCTGACTCTGTGATTTTGTCCCCAAATCCCAAAAACTTTAACCTTAAACTATCTACTTTTGACCACACCCCTTTCCTAAGAGGTCTGTAGGGGGCGTGCATGAGCGCACCAATGTGCCTACTGTCCCTGTCCTATTGTTTCTTTTTTTCTTATATGTATCCATTTCATGTATTCATAACCATGCTTATACCTGTTATCTTATAATCACTTGACAAAATAAAATAAATTAAAATAAATGTAGAATAGGCACAAGTGAGCTGGGATGAGACATTATTGCCTTATTATTACATCATGAAATATGATGTTCTACAAACTAACACCTAAAACTGTTAAATCTTTATTTCACAGATAAGCACATATGATAATGAGACCTAGAAGTTGCTTATATGAAAACTTTATATAAGGATTTCCTTTTGTCCAGTAATATGAATTTATGAATCAAATTAAAAAAGCATGTTTATTCAGAATCAAGAACAATAATTAAATCCTACCTGGTTAAACCAGCTGTGCCATTTAATCATCTCATCATTGATGGTTAATATTTTATCTGGAGGAGCTGAATGATCCACATTTCCAACTTTCATGTGAAGAAATGAATTGTTTGGGAAAGCTATTAAGTTTAGAATATCAAATCCAGTTGCTACAATTCCATTCTGATCAAAGAACACTGGTTCCCCAGCACCATTGTTAAAAGCACCATTTCTCAAAAAATAGTGGAACTAAATTGAAAGGAAAAATGCAAGTATTTGGAAATACTAAATTATCAGTCTCTGTGCTGATAAGTTTCACAACAGAAAAGATTTAATTATATTCTAGGCCCTTTCCCCCGTTATATTGGAATCGAAGAGAAAATAGAATCAAAGATATGAATGAAAAGGATCAATAAGAGAGCCCAAATTATTTTTGTTCAAAAATGAGACAGAGGGTTATAATTAATGCTCCCCTGACTTTTCCCTAATATTTATCACACTAGAGTGATTTTTACTTATAGAGTCAGAGAATCATAAAGACACATAGAAAACAGATATATTTTCAAGTCAGAATCATGGAAACTGGAAAATAAGCTTTCTAAAATCTCATATAATTATGAAATAACTATCAGAAAAACAGTCCCAAAATAATTCAGTAGAAAATAGTTATATAGTAATCAATACTTAAGATAGAAAAAATAAAAAAGTTCAGTATGATGAAAAAAGCATACTTTTTATTTTTTAATTGTAATACATGGGACATAAGTCAAAATAGAATTTCAAGGTTCCCATCAATCATAGTATTTTTCCTAATGAGAATATTACCTTCCAGAAATCTTGACCATGAATCTTCCTTCCTACTCTATCCACCACTGATCTCTCAGTATCTCTAGAAGAGGACAGGGCATGTAAAGCATGAGCTATGGCATGAACAGCATTGTAGACACTGTAACTGTGGCCAGTCATGTCCATTTGAAAAAGAGTCCCAAGAAGGCTCTCCAAATTCTCTTTACCATTGCAAGTATTCTCCTCTACATCACTCATAGTTGTATCTGGGAATATACAGTCAAAGGCTTCTTGCCAGAACTGTCTAATAAATGTATCTTTATTTGTGCTGAAGGGGTTTTGTTTCTTAGCAAATGATCTAAACTCTGGCAGAGCAGTGGAATGCATTGTGAAGGAAAGGGTACCATCGATTATTTTGAGATCCCAAGCACGTTGAACAGGAATTAAACTGAATTCCATCTGTGCTGTCATAATCCAAACAATACCTTTTGGTTTACTTTTCACCTCTTCTATATTTGGAATATACTGCAGCCACAACAAATTTCCCATTGCAAAAGATTCTCCATTATACACCACCGCATTCGCCTTATTATTCATGATAACATCATAGATTTTTGCCCCCTTTTGAAGCACGCCCTCAAATTTAGTGAAATCAGTTGCTTTAGGGAATCGGTGAATGAAAGGAACACAGACTCCATTTTTGAAAAAAAGAGGAACAATTGTTTCTACAAATTTTTCCCCCTGGTCATTGTCCATGATAAGAATCCCAGTCCATGTCCAATTAAAATGCAGGAGCAGTGAGATAATCCCTTTATGCTGAAGTTCTTCTTGGGGAACCATCTGATAAAAGGAAAGACCAGGGGTTTTATCATGCATTATTGGAGCAGAGCCATAAATAAGCTAGAGAGAAACAGGAAAAGGAGATAAGAGCAGCATCTACAGATCGTTTTCAAGAGTTCAATCAACATACAGTCTATTGAATTAATAATCCTTATACCAATCCTTTTAAAGAGCCTTGCCTGCCTTGCTGAGATGAAAATTCCCTGAATTTTTATTCCTGAAATTTGTAGATATGGAAAGCATAACTGCATGGAAGGTGTTGGAAGTCTGTTGATTGCCATTCAGTGATGCTTCAGATCTGGAGGAATTGCTGATATGAATATATCTAAAACCAAGCAGTAGATTTGTATGTGATGTGTAATTGCTCTTCCATATTTACAAAGTATCAAAGAGGATATACTGTTATAATCCTTGTTTGTACATATACACAGGTATACCTGGTAGTCACAAGTGGACAAAGGAATTTGTATATTGATGTAAATTTTTAAAAGTGTAAATTTCTGTAGCTGACAGTGAATCAAAACAGTTCAAGTTAGAGAAGTTTTTTTTTACAATATCTTTTGCTATATAAGAATAAAATTTTAATTTCACAAAGAAATGTCTAGCCACAGTCAATAAGAGTACAGTAACTACAAAAAAAGGCTGTCATACATTGAAAACGTTTAAGAAACAATCAAAAGTTTACTAAAACCTTCTGGCATCTCTGTAGTGCACAAGATAACAATACATTTTCAAAGCCTCCTATACATTCCCAAAGATTCTTTAGCTAAGCATTTATTCACAACATATAATGGCCTATGAATGTAATAAAGCTTTGATCTGATTGATTTGACTTGACCATGTATGATAAAGTATGACAAAGTATAAGATTTATAGAACATATTAATGACTTTCAGCTTATAGTCAAAAGACATGAAATTCTTTAAATTTCACAACAGATAGTTTCATCTGGGAAGTAGTATACAATTTATATTATGCCAAGTATAAGAAAGCAACAAATCTTCTAGAAGAAATTAGTGATAAATAGACATATAGAAATAAATTCTACTTATATACCATTCAAAAACAACAATGGAAAGTTAGACAGAAAATCAGCTTTAAGAATATCTTCTCTTCTCTTCTGTTAACCAACATCCAGATAAACAGCACAGATGAGCAAGGACAATCAATACTGAAAACTGATAGGTCAAACTGTTATATATAAATATCCACTAACCTTCCCTTAATATCAATACACTGTTGTTTCTGCAAGTTCATGTATGTGTGTACTTGAATTACTGAAATGAGAATGATGGCTCTTGCTGCACATAAAACAGATATTATCTGGAAATTAGAGGAAAATGCTTTTTCTAAAGTTTTTTTAAAATATGATTCCTGAACCACTCTTTAGTCCAGGATCCATGTTTGAAAGGATGAGAGCAAATCATAGGGATTTTTCAAATTTAGGAATAATAGTTTAGAAAAAGCTTTCACATTGTAGCAGCTTAGCTAAATAGCTTAGCTTGTAGGTTAAACAATATGATAATCAGTTGGGAAAATAGAAAAAAGTGTGAATTGAATCATGACAGATCTCTTATTCTCCCTTAACTGTTATAATGGATATTTGGAATTGGGAATCATTTATTTAGTTATTTATTATTTATTTATTTGGCAAGCATGTATTAGATAACAGATATAAATATAAACATGATTATTAATACATGAAATGGATAAGAGTAAAAGGGAGTATTAGGACAGGGAGGGTAGGCACTTTGGTGTGCTTATGCATGCCCCTTAAAGACCTCTTAGGAATGGGGTGAGGTCGACAGTAGACAGTCTAAGGTTTAAGTTTTTGGGGTTTTCGGAAGAAACCACAGTCAGGTAGAGTATTTCAGGCATTGACCACTTTGTTGCTGAAATCGTATTTCCTGCAATCGAGTTTGGTGCAATTTACCTTGACTTTGTATCTATTATGTGCTCGTGTATTATGGTTGAAGTTGAAGTTGTCATTGACGAGTAGGAAATTGCAATGGATAATTTTGTGTGCTACGCTTAGGTCAAACCGAAGTTAGCATAGTTCTAAGTTGTCTAAGCCTAAAATTTAAAGTCTGGTGGCATAAGGTATACTGTTGTGAGTTAGAAGAATGGAGGACATTTCTCATAAAATATCTCTGGACTCTCTCGATTGTGTTAATGTCTGATATGCAATGTGGGTTCCAGACAGATGAGCTGTATTAAAGAATTGGTCTAGCAAATGTTTTGCATGCTCTAGTTAGTAGTACAATATTACCAGAGAAGAAGCTATGCAAGATTAAGTTAACAACTCTTAATGCCTTTTTGGCAATGTTGTTACAGTGGGCTCTGGCACGTAAATCATTAGAGATGAATATTCCAAAGTCCTTGACAGAGTGAGGGTTGTCTACAAGGTCATTTCTGTCCAGCTTGTATTTTATTTTCTGAATTCTTTTGCCAATATGTAAGACAGAGCATTAGTTTGTTGAATCATGTCCACCAAACAAAAACCTTGACATTATTCTGGGTATTTTGTACTTAACTGGAAACAATAATTATTTATTAATGTGAAATTAAATTTTACAGATAATGAAAACACTGATAGTTTTCCAAAACTTTTGTCTTTAACCATATTAATCAGAAAAATATTATTGAACATCTTTCTATATGCAGAGCTTGATTCATCTTGTTTGAAGGAAATTTCTCTTTTAGTTATCACTGAAAACATTGCAGGTTATGCTAACCACTTGAATGTTGGTCCCTTTGGTAACAATAGTTCTTAATTTATTAAAGATTAATTTCTGAGATTGATTGTGATTGAATCTTATTGCAACTTAAAGCCTTAACACTAAGACCAGGCTGAAAAGACTGCTATACTGTTTGTGAAATAAGGGGCATCGAAATAAATGAACCAACTATTTATAGTATGCTTCATGCAGTTTGCTAAGAAAATGACAGATATTGAATCACAAAAAATTGCATATCATTGTAGTCTAATCCATGAAGTTATTTAGAAACAGAAAAGCCAAACTTTTTTCAATAATTAGCAAAAATGAAATAATTAATGAAATAATTGGGCACTAAACTTAGTACAAAAACGAATCTGTTTTTAAATCAAAATTTTCAAATCCTGAACTATTTACTTGAATATACCTAATGCTGCAAAACAAAATTACATTGTGAAAGTAGATCATCATAAGTAGCATGACATTTGCATGCAAGGTCGTCCAACCTACCTGTGGAATCTTATAGATATCCAAGAAAGTTGCCACATGAAGGGAGACTTCAGCATCCAGTCCTCCAATAACAGCTATGACTTTATTCTGGATGTTACATAAGTAGTTGGGGACCAGTCTCTCAGTTGCTGATAGAAGTAGCATGGTGGCTTGATAGGTCCTTTGAGCATTGTCATAGCTATCATAAATATGGAAGCCCAGGGTAAAATTGGGCAAGATTTGTGGGTTTTCATTGATCTCCTTTACTGCATAAGCCAAAGCCAGGATGTGCTGGTAATTCTTAGGAACTCCACTACAATTAGAGCAGTATTGAACATCAAAAGGATATTCTGTTATTATATTCTTATCAGTATTTAGACTATAGCAGGCAAACCCCATCAAGTAATTCTGTCTTTCTGATATAGTAAATTAAACAGCAATCAGGATCTAGAATTAATATACTGTATGTACAAGTATACATTGAAAAAGAAGTCAATGTTTATTGTTGGAACTCAGATGTTTCTGCAGAAAAAATATGCAAATAATTTCAGACATAAACACAGAGAGTGTCTGGAATCCATATATATAATGTCACTTTGTAAAAAAAAGAATACTCAGTCCTCTTGCAGACACTCTTGCATTGTTAAATGAAGATGTGTTCAAAAGAGTTATTTGGTACAAGACTAATATTTTTTAAGAAGGAGTATGTAGAAAAATGCAAAAGAGCTTTAAATCAGCCTCTCACAAGCTGTCTGCCCCACAATATTGCCCAGAAGGTGGCTGAGAATTATAGGTGTAGAAACTCACCTATTTGGAGGTATTCCATTTTGGAAGTTTGCTTTAAACATCTGATTATATTCCACACTCTATTTTGCCTGATTGAGAAAAGAATGCTGTTCTGAGGATCTCCTTAATTTCAACCAAGTCAATTAATTATTATTTTGTGATGGCAATGCTATTATTTCAGCAAATACAAATGCAGTAAAATAGAAACAAATAACAATAACATTCCTTACATAAAGTGTCCAGGCAATACTGGTGAGAGACGATCTTTAAAGGTAATGTCTTCAGAGACTGGACTAACTTGAGATGAAATTCCACCTACCATAAGGTCTCCTGGATGATAGTACTTGTGATATGGACTATATGGATGAAACATGTTGCAACTATAAATCAGGCACACTACATGGGCACTCAACACTATCATTAAGATCAATAAAATTTCCATCCCCATTACAAGGGCAAACTCAAAGAATCCCGCTTATTCCTAGAACAAAGCCATTAATATTTCTGAAATTTATGTGTCTTGAGTCTTTAATTTACTTGTCTGAATCTTGATCTATCTAGGATCAAACCAGTGGTGGTATTCAGCAGGTTCTGACCAGTTCTGGAGAACCAGTAGCAGAAATTTTGAATAGTTCAGAGAACCGGCAAATACTACCTCTGACTGGAGATTTTACAGTATATTTCCCCTGCCATGCCCACCAAGCCACGCCCACAGAACCGGCAGTAAAAATTTTTGAATCCCACCACTGGATCAAACCTAGGGATCCTTACCCATCCAGAAGCCAGTTGTATTTCTCTTGATCTCTAATAGTATTGTTATTTTAAGAGAAAGTGAGAGAAGCAACAATCTACATCAGTCTTTTTTTGTTGGTGTAGGGCACTGAATTTCCCTGGGATTTTGATTTAGTTGCACAAACAAGAAGGTAATTTTTAAGTCAGTGTTCAGTTCCTTAGGGAAGACCTGAAGAAAGCATTTTTTTTAGAGTTCAACTATTGTCTTCACTTGAATTCTTAAAGGAACCAGGTCATATGGCAAGGATGAATGATGAGGAATATTTTAGTGATTTTATAACACAGCTTTTTAGCCATTAAAATTTTTAAAAAACAAAAATAAATCCTCACCTACTTTAATGTTTCTTTTCTTTTTAAATGGGAAAGAGTTCATCTATTGTTTCTTTTAAAATATCAGTTATATGCATTAACATTGTTACCATGCTCTATTCCAGTTCATGAATATACTCTGACACTCCTCCCTGCATAACTGGAATAGACATAAATTCAATTACCTTTATTGAGTGAGAATATAACCACCTTTCTCGCTTTTATGTATCCCTACACCTAGATAATTTTTCATTTCTTCTAAATTTTTTAATTCAAATTTCTTCTTCAACTTATTTGAAAATTCGTTTACCTGTGATTGATCCTTTGCAATGAAGCAAAGATCATCCACAAATGCTAATAGTTGACAATCCCTACCTTTTAACTTTCCAGTGTATATGCAACTATCAGCCTTGCAATTCTTGAGCCCAAGACCCATTAATGTAGTATCTAAACAGATATTCCAATTCCAGGCTGATTGCTTCAGCCCATAAATGGCCTTTTTCAATTTATATACTGTGTTAGGCTTTTTACTATCATACCCTGATGCTTGAATCATGTAAATTTCTTCCTCTAATTCTGCATTGAGAAATGCAGTGGTTATGTCAAAATACCAGATTTTATGGCCATGTGCAACTGCCAATGCTAGTGCCAGCCTGATGCTCTCACTCTTTACAGTTGGTGCGAATACCTCATCATAGTGCACATTTTTCTTCTGTGAAAACCACTAACCTTGATTTATATTGTACTTCATTATTGGGCAGTACCTTTTTCTTGTATATCCACTTGCATCCTACAGCTTTGCTACCCTGTAGAAAAGTCATAGATGTGAACACTTCATGTTCTCCATGGATTTCATTTCCTTGTCCATGGCTTCTTTCACTTTACTTGTTCAATTATAGGTAATGCCAATACTTTTTTTGTAGTTCCTTGGCTCATACACTTTAACTTCACTAGCAGAATACTTCTCAGGTGGAATCCCCTTGTTCCATCGCTTTGACCTGCATGGCACTGACTGCTCCTGTGTGTCAACCCTCTCTTGCTTCATATCTTGTTCAGCTTCTCCTCCCCGAACACTGACACAGTCACTAAGTGAGTCACTGTCACTAAGTGAGTTACCATAACTAAGTGAAACATTCCAAAAGTTTGCATCAATTCTGTTCCAATTTTGCTCTGCAAAGCTTGCAGACCTTGAAAATACTATTCTTTTGCTCCCATCACTAAAGCGATAGCTCTTTGAGCCTGGCTCATAGCCCACAAACCTGAGCTTTCTAGCCTTTATTTATTTTTATTTTATTTATTTATTTATTTTATTTATTTGATTTGTCAATTGTTTACAAGATAATAAGTACAGGTGTATACATAGTTGTGAATATATGAAATGGGTACATATAAGAAAAATAAAAGAATAAGAGAAACAATAGGACAGGGACGGTAGGCACGTTGGTGCGCTTATGCACGCCCCCTACAGACCTCTTAGGAAAGGGGTGAGGTCAATAGTAGACAGTCTAAGGTTAAAGTTTTTGGGGTTTGGGGAAGAGACTACAGAGTCGGGTAGAGTATTCCAGACATTGACCACTCTATTGCTGAAGTCGTATTTCCTGCAATCAAGTTTGGTGCGGTTTACTTTGAGTTTGTATCTGTTGTGTGCTCTTGTGTTGTTATGGTTAAAGCTGAAGTATTCATTGACAGGTAGGACATTGCAATGTATGATTTTATATACCATGCTTAAGTCGGACCGAAGACGGCGTAATTCGAGGTTTTCTAGTTTTAGAATTTCGAGTCTGGTGGCATAAGGTATTCTACAACGGGTAGAAGAGTGGAGAACTCTTCTTGTGAAATACTTCTGGACTTTCTCAATTGTGTTAATATCACATACGTGATAAGGATTCCAGACTGATGAACTGTATTCGAGTATTGGTCTAGCAAATGTTTTGTATGCTCTGGTTAGTAGTGAGATATTACCAGAGAAAAAGCAACGTAGGATTAGGTTAACAACTCTTAATGCCTTTTTGGCTATGTAGTTGCAGTGAGCTCTAGCACTTAGATCATTAGAGGTGAGTATTCCCAGGTCCTTTACAGAGCTTGGGTCATCAACAAGATCTTGACTATTCAGCTTGTATTTCATTTTCTGATTTTTTTTACCAATATGTAAGACAGAGCATTTATTTGTTGAGATTTGGAGTTGCCATATGTTAGACCATTCAGATACATAGTCTAGATCTTTTTGTAGGGTAGTAGTATTGTCTGTGGTATTGAACAGCTTTACATCATCAGCGAAGAGAACGCAATTGCTCTTGATATGATCACAAAGGTCGTTTATGTAGATTATGAAGAGAGTTGGTCCTAGAACACTGCCTTGGGGAACACCACTATTGACAGGTACTGGATTTGATAGGGCGTTCCCAATTTTGACCATTTGTTGTCTGTTTGACAGGAATGCTTCTATCCAGTTATTCAGTTGTCCAGAGATACCATAAGATTTTATTTTTAGGAGTAGTTTGTCGTGTACCACTGAATCAAAGGCTTTGCAGAAGTCTATGTAGATTGCGTCTATTGCTTTGCCCTGATCGAGTTGTGTAGTCCATATGTTTTTGCAGTGTAAGAGTTGCAGATTACAGGATAGTTTTTTTCTGAAACCAAATTGTTTATTGGAGAGTAGGTTGTTTGTCTCTAAATGGAGGATGATGGATTGGTTAATAATTGATTCCATGACTTTACAGGTGACGCAGCATAAGGAGATTGGTCTGTAATTTTCAACTAGGCTTGGGTCTCCCTTTTTGAAGATGGGGATGACTGTGGCTTGTAACCATAGGTTGGGCAAGGAGCTGGTTCTGAAAGATTTTTCAAAGATTATGCTTAGAGGTTTGGCTATGGCAGCGGATAGTTTTCTTAAGAAGTAGGCACATATTCCATCCGGTCCAATAGATGGAGATGGTTTTAGGTTGCGTAGTGCTTTTTCAACGTTGTCTACTGTAAAATCGATATGTATTAGATCATTATTGTTGTCTGTGGTACGGCTAGGAAACATTGGGCATGATCCATTACTGTTTACAAACACTGAGCCGAAGAATGTGTTAAAGATGTTGGCTTTAATGGTGTCGTCGCTGCAGTCTTTACCATCAGGTCCTATCAAGGGAGGGATGGACCTTGAGTCTTTTAGTTTGTTGTTTACAAAATTGTAAAAAGCACGGGTGGAATTGGTGCTTAGAAGGTTTTCCTCTTGTTTAATGTGGTAATTGGTGCATTCGGTCTTTATCTGGTGGCATAAATTTTTGTATCGGTTTTTGAAATTAGCAACGTGACCAGATTTGTTTTTCCGCCAGAGTGATCTCTTTTTGGATTGAAGTTTCCTTATTGATATGGGTAATCTGCTTTTTCGTTTTGTTTTTGGAGTTGTTGTTGGAACATATAGTTTGATGACTCTTTTGACTTCAAGTAAAAATATGTTGTAATGGTCTTCAACAGTATTGCATCCAGTGAATAGAGATTGCCAATCGAGGGATGAGAGATCGTTATCTATAAGATCATAGTTGCCTTTTTTGAAGTTACAACTAGGGATGACATCGTTGTGGTGATTTTTGTGTGGACGTATGTTGAGGCAAAAGTCAATCATATTGTGGTCACTACTGGAAAAGGGTTCTTTGGTTTGTATTCGGTAAATTAAATTCAAACTATTGCAGAAGATGAGATCGAGGCAGTTGTTCAGTCTAGTGTTGTTGGTTACTAGTTGTTCAAGACCTAGATTTGTAATAGCATTGTAGAAGGTTGTGTGTATGATTTCAGTTGTACAATTATTTAGGGTCCAGTCAATATGAGGTAGATTGAAATCTCCAAGAAAGATAAAAGGGTATGGGCAGGATGTAGCCCATGTTAGTAGTGTATTTAGCTTGTTTACATGTTCGATGTCATAATCAGGTGCTCTGTAACATAGTAAGAATCGAATTGTGATATTTAAGGATAGTTCACAGATGATGGTTTCAGGAAGGGCAAGCTCCTGGGTAACTTGGATATTTTTTAGATGTAAGGATTTTTTATAGAATATAGCAACACCACCTCCTCGACGATTTTCACGATCTGATCGGTAAACATGATAGTCTCTTACTGTGGTAATGGAGTCGGGGAGAGATGCATTGAGCCATGTTTCACAGACAAATATAATGTCGAAGTTAGCCATATTTAAGAGGATGAGAAATTCAGGTATTTTATTCACGAGGCTTCTTGCATTGAGTAGTTTGCATTTAAGTCCGGCAGCAGTTGGGATTGAGGTAGTTGGGGGCGTGCGTGCCTAGTCTTGGGTGATGGTGGGTGGTGGGTAGTTTTGGGTGATGGTGGGTGGTGGTAGGTGGTTGAGGTAGGGTGGTGGTTGAGGGTAAAAGTTGGGTATTGGGTTGCGTGTCTTACTTTTGATACAGTCAGCATGGTAGTCAATGTACAGGTCCTTCTCTCCATTGTCTAGACGGGTTTTGAGTTCGATGCGGAGTGCACGGGAGCGGGCACGTTGCTGTATGGTTAAGTCAGGGCGGCAACGGAGGTTTTTGTGGTTGGTGTTGGTTTTGGCGAGTGAGTTTATAGTGTAAATGAGTTTACGTTTGCTTGATTCATTTTTGCAAATGATCCTGCACAAGCGTGGGGCCACAGAGCCGTCTCTATTTTTGAGCTCTCGGTCAATGCGGGAAATGTCAAGTATTTCATCACCGGAGATGGTTGATGCTTGGTAATCTCTGATGATGTTTCGGACAGTTGTGATGTCATCATTGACAATGCTGTCTTCTAATTCTAATTGCTTTTGGAATATGCACCCATGCGTTGCTTCCAAACACCCTTAAATGTGCTAGAGATGGTTTTCTCCTATATAGCACTGCATATGGAGTATCATTAATGGAGGAACTCCATAACCTATTAACTAATTAATGAGCAGTCAATAAGGCTTCACCCCAATACGACCTGCTTAGACCAGAATACTCTAGCAGTGAGTCCTTCATGATTTGCAGGATTCCATTCCATCTCTCAGCAATACCATTCTCAGCTGCTGTGTAAGGATTTGTGTGTCTGTTTTATTCCTAACTGTGCCAACCACTGTTGAAAATTTGTTGACATGAATTCTGAACCTCTGTCAGTTTGCAACTGACATAACTGTTGTTTATACCTTTTTTTATACAAAGCTTACCCATTGCTTGAATTTGTGTAGCACCTCTGTTTTACTCTTTAGTAAATGGCAGAACCCAAACCTACCATAGTCATCTATAATGACCAGCACATACTCAGCTCCTCCCAAACTGGCTTGCATTGGGCCCACTAAATCTGCATGTACCAGCTTTAGAGCTCTTCTTGTCTACTTTGTGCTACTCTTGCTTACTGGGAATGCCTTGGACTTTGATGTTTTGCATATTGCACAATCCAAATATGACTTACACCACTTTACATGCAATCCTTCTGCATACTGGTCCACTTAATAACTGTGGCAAGAAAGGTTGTAAAATGGAGCAAAATTCACTTAAAAAAAGTCTCATTCAACAACAAAATTTTGGGCTCAACTGAAGTCAAAGACTATACCAGAGGTGGTATTCAGCAGGTTCTGATCAGTTCTGGAGAACCGGTAGCGTAAATTTTGACTAGTTCAGAGAACTGGCAAATACCACATCTGACTGGAGATTTTACAGTATCTTTCCCCTGCCATGCCCACCAAGCCATGCCCACAGAACTGGTAGTAAAATTTTTTGAATCCCATCACTGGACTGTATGCTACACTTTGGTATATTTTATTTATTTATTTTATTTGGTTTGTCAATTGCTTACAAGATAATAG